GGTTTAGACCCTGTCAGGACCTGAGTCCAGGTTTAGACCCTGTCAGGACCTGAGCCCAGGTTTAGACCCTGTCAGGACCTGAGCCCAGGTTTAGACCCTGTCAGGACCTGAGTCCTGGTTTAGACCCTGTCAGGACCTGAGTCCTGGTTTAGACCCTGTCAGGACCTGAGTCCTGGTGTTTCCTCGTGGCTCACAGTCTTCAGGCCCACCTGTTTACCTGCTGGACTCGGGACTTAACAGAAAGCCTCTTAGGTCTCTGACAGGTTCTGACAGGTTCTGTCCGGGTTCGGTAGGCCAGGTGAGCACACAGACGGTCTCATGTGGACCCTGTCTGGTCTCCTGCTCCCCCCACCCAGCTGAGCAGCCCCCCGACTCTCACGCACATCAGCACGCACGCCTGACTCACAATCAGCGGGATGGTCCGGTCCTCTCGGTGGACCTCCAGCCGGCCGGGGACCCCCCTCTGCCTCTGGCCCCGGCCGCGGATCTGAGACGCAGATGACGGCGTCGACGGGGGCTTGTTGTCCTGCCACAGGTAATAGAACGTGCCCAGGATCCACGCGACGGTCAGAATGGCGATGGCGTTGGCCCGGATCCTCCGCATGGTGCTGAGCCCACAGGCAGGGCTCCGGAGGCGAGCCCGGCTGGATCAGGTCCGTCTGCGGCCCGACGGCCAGCTGATGGTCGGACTGTCTGTCTGCCTGCCTGCCGGGGACCTGCCGCTCTGCTCCGGTTTACTCACAGGCGGAGCCGCGGTCCTAGCGCCGACCTCCTCCTCCTCCTCCTCCTCCTCCTCCTCCTCACACACCGAGCGCGCGCACATGGAGGACAGGACTCTACCTGAGCTGTGTGAAGCTGACACCCCACCCACGTCAAAAAATTCATCAAATAGTCAGAATGGTTAGTGCTCCGTTTGTGCAGGTTTGTGCCGTTAAAATGGTCGTTTGTGCAATTTTGGTTTCCGAGATATTAAATATTATATATTTGGTCATCTACAGTTCACCATCACCCCATATCGCTTCAAAAGTAAACCGAAGTGGGCTAGTTCGTTAGTGCTCTGTTTGTGCAGGTTTGTGCTGTAAAAACTGTCGTTTGTGCAGCTTTAGTTTTCTAGATATTTGAAGTTAAATATTGGCACGATGACGTCACCATTCCGGAAGTTGCTGCGGGGACGATGACGTCATCGCCTTACACTAAAAACTAGTAATATGTCTAAAAGTATTACAGCACAAACGCTAATTTGAACTGCACAAACATGCACAAACGAAGCACTAATAATGTAGACTACTTTGGTTAATTTTGTAGCTTGCTGGGGGGGATTATAACGTCTTAATGACCTAAAGACATAATGCTTAATATCTCAAAAACTATAACAGCACAAACGCTCATTTTAACTGCACAA